TGAGTCACTGAAGAGGTGTTCACAACTCCGACACTTGTTTCTTGTGATCAAACATATCAATGACCAGACGTTTGACGACATAACCATTCATTTGCCACAACTGCAGACCATACGTCTGGTGTGCAGTAATTGCGTGATAACTGATCTCACATTCAAGTCCCTGTCGGAGCTACCGATGCTCCGGAAGTTCTCTATAATCGACGGCTCCTCTCGCGAGTTCCGTTCCATCAGTGATGAGGCGGTCTGTCATCTGATGGAGTTTTGTCTCAATATAAGAGATCTCGAAATTAACTGCTTTTCTACGATCGGCAACAAATCGGTTGAAGCCTTCATAAGTCGGGCCCAAAGGGAACCTCAAAGACAGCTATGTTTTGCGTTTAAAGACGACTTGAATATAATTGACGCCCTCTTTGCCAATGACTTCATTCCAGCGAATCTTGAGCTCAAGAAAGTGGACATTCAGGAGAAGACATTCAACTCATTCCTTATGAGAAAATAGAGATTAGAGTCAACTCTTTAATCCATTATTTATTGAAGTCTAAAGTTTTTTTGTATCGATTCATACTTTTATGTTTCTATAGTTTGAACTTTATATTTGAGATAATAGTTAATTATAAGTATATATTACAGTATAACTGAATTACAGATTATAAATGACAATACAGTATATATTATATTATATTTAAATTTACCGTAATTACATTTTTTAAATAAAATCTATTAATTGTAACAATTAAGTTATTAATTAAAAGTTAAAAATAGTTTTCTTATAAATAAACCTAATGTTAATGATATGAATATTATATATCCACAAATAAATAACTTTAATCTTGGACATATTCAGGTTTAATTAAATGACGACAATGACCATGGTCTAATGATCGGAGACAATATGAACCGAATTACAGTATATTTGGTAACACTATATGTGAATTGTTTGACTCAAAAGTTGTAAACAAAACGTAAAAACATGTGTTTTTGGTGTCATTTGACAACAAATTAAATGCTTTTGTTTTGATTGCAATTCGTGTCAATCAGACATCCATTGTCTCCAAAATGTCTTTATTTCCCGCATATTCTTCCTCAGCAACCAATTCATCGGTGGTTAAGACCGAAGACAAGAGTGCCATCAAAACTAGTGGTGATAACAAGGATTGGCTTTCGTTGAGTAGTTTTGATGACAAGAAAGTGATTGAATTGAATAAAGAGATAATTGTGGACAACAAGAGGTCTGATGACAGACACAAACACAGCTCAAGACATAGTAAGAGATCATCAAAGAGTGGTAAGAGTTGTGCACTCATTTGTTGACATTTGATTGAATGATTTTCACATATATTTGTTGTTCAGACGAGAGATCAAAGTCGAGATCAAGTGATAAAAGACATGAAAGACATGACTCGCCGCCGAAGACTAGTTCCCAAAGTTTGTCGCAATTCTTGTCAAACAAGACATTCATCGAAGAGACGGGTCTTTCGCCGCAAAACGCGTACAGAATTGACACCAAAAGAGACAAAAATAATTTGGCGTTTAATTCATTGTATTATAAAAATGTCGCGATTTATGAGAAAAACAAAACCATTAATATATCGAAGAGGAAGAGGGATCCAAAGGACGGTTAGTCTGCCTTTTGGTCCCACTTTTGTCTCATTATTACAATTGAAATATATTTGCATTGCTTTCAGATTCGGCCAAAAGCCGGAAGAATAAGAAAATGAGATATTTTTCTCACGAAAATCGAGTGCTCCTGAAGAAGGGTTTGCAGGAAATGACAGATTTGTCGAAACCAGAGATGAGACCAATGAGAGAGCCCTTAGAGTTCATTGCAATCAATGCTAACCAACCGTTCAGTCAGTTATTGAGTGCCACAACTCAGTCGACGAATAATCCGTTGGGAGTCTACGACGCGAAGACTGCCCTCTGGTCTGAAGGAAAGGGATCTTTGGATGAAATACCGCTTCCGGAGACGACAATCACATTCCAGTCAATGAAAGACAAGAGTCTTAAGAATGGTATAAAACTTATTGTTTTTGATTAAATGGTTTTCCAATAAAATGATATTTCGTTTGCAGAACCAATGATTGGTGTGAATCGATGTCCAACTCGTGAGCAATACATCTACGATAAGACACAAGAAATGAACGCATATTTGAGAGACAATGAGACGGATGTCGAGAAATGGCTTCAATTGATTGCATTTCAAGACAAATGCGTTGAGACAACGGACTCAGATAAAGACAAAATCGATGGCAAGACTTTCGATGTGTTTATCGCTGAGAAAAAACTCGCGATTTGTGAGAAAGCGTTGACTTTTAATCCAAAATCAATTGATCTCTTGTTATGTCGTCTGGAAATTGTGTCCAATATTTGGGAATCCGATAAAGTGTTCAAAGAGTGGAAGCGTTTAGTCTTTTTATATCCAAATTCAATGCAAATGTGGAGAAAATATCTGCTATTTTCACACCAAAACATAACTCAATTCAAAGCATCGAAAACATTGAAAATCTATGAAAAATGCGTTCAAATGTTGTCCAAAATGTTGGAAAAGACTTTCATTAGTCACACTCCGCCCGAAGACTTGGAAATACAGTTGCTTTCAATTCTGAGCTCTTATTCGCGTTTTCTGTTAAGTATTGGACAGACAGAGAGAGCCGTCTCGACATTCCAGGCGTTAATTGAATTCAATTTATTTACTCCGAGTTTATTAACCCTTGATATGTCTGTTGAGGTATTTATTGATTGAATGAATGATTAGTTTTGAGATAATCTATGAATTAATTGATTATAGGATTGGAAGACATTGTTTGAACCCTTTTGGGACAGCAGTTGTCCCCGTTTTGGCCAAAAGGGAGCCATTGGTTGGTCTCAAGTGATGCTTAAGAAGAATATGACGAACACTACTGAAGAAATGGATTCTCAAATCCAGTCTCTCATGGATTCCGAAGAGAACAAAATAATTGCAGTTTTGGCCAAAAGGGAGCCATTGGTTGGTCTCAAGTGATGCTTAAGAAGAATATGACGAACACTACTGAAGAAATGGATTCTCAAATCCAGTCTCTCATGGATTCCGAAGAGAACAAAATAATTGCAGAGAAAAGCCATAAAAACATAGTTTGGCTTAAGTTTGAGTTATTGAGACAACGGTTCCATTGGCTGCCGGCGCGCACTGACAGTGATGTCGACGACGTCGAGAGGATTGTCTGCAGCGATGATATCACTGAAATGTTGGTCCGATTCCGTGAATCCAACACTAAATACCTTTTAGTGAAAGAATTTCTTCGCTTTTTATCAATGATTGACTCAAAAAATGGTGAAAATGTGTCGACAAGTGATGAGTGTTTTGAGCCAATTGTCGAAATCCCCGACTTTTGCATTCGTTTACCACTTTTGCCGCAATTCTTCCGAAATGAAGACATTATTCGCAATATATTTAAGTCAAGCGTTGAGTTGTTTTGTGGCGAAAATAAAAGCGATTTAATCATTGATTGGATTCAATACGAAAAGAACAGAACTGATGACAGAATGAGTGCCAAAGAAATGAGAAAATTCTTGAAAAACTTGTTAAGAGATGAGTTGATCCGCAATGACTTGAATGTGTGGTCAGAATATGTGTCATTCGAGTACTCATTGGCTGACAATCAGAGCGAAGGCCGCAAAGTGTTTCAAACGGCTCTCCAATTAATGATCAAAAGTAACCAAAACAGAGACCAACTCTTGAGGTTTGTCCGCAATTATGTCGAACTCGAGTTAGATATCAAATCATTGTCGCAAATGTCCGATAATTTATCGAAAAAACGCCATAAAATTGACAAAATGAATGAAGACTTGTCTCTCAATTCGTTGTTATCCATAAGTTGTGGTCAAATGGTATTGAATTTAACGCCAGGCCTTGTTCTCAAAGCTTTTAATAATTTAAAACAAGTTTCAAAACCAACTATTGATCACTTGTTTTGTTTGATTTTTATTAATTACTTAACTAAAGGTTAGATATTTTATTAGTTGATAACAATTTAAAGATTTGTTAATAAATTAATTTGTTTTTCCAGGACTCAGACCAACAATTGATTTGATTGAAGAGATTTTGGTCGAAAGACATTCAATGGTGAATGAGAAGCAAATATTTTGTATATATTTTCAGATATTATTACTAAATAGTCGTCAAAATTCTGGTCAATCACTGAAAGCGTTGCGTTCAGTACTAAACCGAGCACTCGATTGCTATCCAACAGAACCGCAATTCTTATGCCTTTTAGTGAACATTGAGTTCATGTCTAACGTGTTTTGTCGGATGAGAAGGTTTTTCGCCAAATCCTACCAAACGGTGCGAAATGAAAGCAATTGTGAGCACAACTGGAATCTTATTCTTTATGCCATTCATTCGGAACTCAAAAGACTTGATTCGGCGAACGGTATGTACTGTGGTTTGCATTTTAGTGTCATTTACTTAATATATCACTAACTACTGTGTCAGTCAACTGCTTGCATACAATAGTGTATGAATACACATAATAAGGGACTGTCCGAAAGCCGAGCGCAGCCTCCCGTCCGACCCGAAGTAGAGGCCATAGAGAGGCCACACCTGACTCCCAGCCATACGTCCCCTCAAAAATTAGCTTAAGTGCGAATCTGGTGTTAAACAGATCCCTTATTTTCCTTACTCTTTGGTTTAAGCACGAAGTGTTGGCACTCACTCTCTCCCTATCCACCCATTCCTACCTATTCTTTATTTACAGTACTTATCATACTTTTTGCACTTTTATACCTGTTATACGTTATAATTATGTTACTTTTTAATTATTATATCATTATTTACAATTTTTAATCTGATTTTATATATATATATATTTGATATATTTAAATTTAACTGTTGATATTTATTAATTGGGTTTATTTATACAGGTAAATTTATTATTTCAAATATACTGTATAAAGTGCGTTCACTAAAAGTTCCCTGTAGTTTATAAGTTTTAGAAATTGCTAAGAATTTGAGAATTTTGAACCACTTTTAAATTTATAAGAAATACTAATTAATATATTAAAATTGCATTACTTTTAGAAACATTTACTGGTTATGACACCAACTCTGGTATTGTTAATAGGGTTCGACTATTGTTTGAAAGGGCTGTAAATAGTCATCAGTTATCCAATTGTGTCACCCTTTGGCGCCTTTATATCAAATTTGAGGTATTTTTATTATTTTATGTAAATTAATTTAATTTAATTTATATCCATATTTAACTAATTTGTGTCATATTTTCAGCTCAACTGCAATAACACATCGAAAGGCAAAGCAGTCTTTTATAGAGCGTTACAAACGTGTAGTTATAGTAAAGTAAGTATTGTTTGGGTTTTCGTAAATTTGATTATTTTTACTGATTTTCTACTATTTTATTCTTAATTAATAGATCCTATATTTGGATGGAATTCAATACTTTTCATCACAATTACAGGAATTATTGGATATAATGACTGAAAAGGAGATTAAGATTAGAACTCCATTAGAAGAGATTGAGTTATTAATGAATAATTTAAAGTAAATTTATTTGTAAATAAAATGTAAATCATTTCATAAGTGGTTGTTTAAATATATTTTAATATGAATAACATATTAAAGTGATTTTTACAAGAATTCGTTGTCAATTGACAAAAATTATTCTAAAAATAACTATTTTGAGTAAAATTGAGCCAAAACTTGTGTAAATTTGTATTTTATATTAAATAATTGGATAAAACAATATAAATATCACACAATAAGAGAGTTATGTAAATGTAAGATAATAATTACGATTAAATTAAATCCAAAACAAAACCTTTGGACGGATTTAGTGTAGAAATAGTTAACAATTTGTTTGAGATTTTGGTTTTAGATTCAATTCAAAAACTAATATTTTGAGTATTGGTATATAAATATTAAAATCGCTAAAATTAATCTAAAATCAGAAACTATGGCACAAATAACCTGAGTATAGTTTGCATTAAATTAAAATATCAAAAAATTACAGCAAATGTTTGTACAAATAACCAAAAATTATCCGAAGATTCTGACGCTAAGTGTTATTCAGATTTAAGAATAGTTTTGAAGGGATTGGGTCCCAATTTTTTATGTGTCCGCCACCGGTGTCCAGCAGTACCGCCGCTGTCTATAGCGGCGGCGGAGCCCGTGTTCTCCTGACTCTCATTGGATGAGGACATGGAGTATGAGTCGAGTGGTTGACAGCACTGAATCCACTCCTGTTTGGATAGCTTTCTGTCGTAATTCTGATCGCAATAATTGATTTCAGTTCTGAAACACTTCCGGAGCCGAGAGTTGATTGTCTGGGCTGTGGTTTTGCGCCACATTTGCCGAAATAGTTTCCATTCGCTGTTCTCCACAAACATATCCCGATTGGTATCGATTCTGTCAAAAACCGTTTGACACGAGTTGTTGTCTTTTTCAAGCAATTGTCTCAATCGTTGATGAAATTTATTACGGCGTCTTTGATCGCAACCCTTTCTAATCGATTCACAATTGTTTTGATTACTATTTGCGGACATGTATTGCAGGGTTTTTATGGTCTGACCGGTCACTCGCGATACACACCAACAGTAGGACTTATGGCACTGAATGCGTACATAATAGCCATCTTTAGTGCACTCCGGGATGAAGAGCTCTCCGTATGGGTTCACTTTGGCTGACTCTAAGGCATTGGATCGCGTGATATAGCAGTCCAGTCGCGACTCGTTTACCGGATGCGAGGAATGCGAGTTCAGTTCAAACGGGTTCTGAAATCCAGTCTTCTTGGGCTGTGTCGGTGAACCGCTTCCAACGGATCCGCCGTTTGTCGAGTTGAGTGACAGAAAGGCGCGGAAACTGAAGTCAAAATTGAGACACTCTTTGAACTCGGATTTCGTGACAAACGAGTCGTTGTTTTGGTCGCAAAACGTGAACATCTGTTGAGCGCAGACACGGAACAGAGGAAAGAGTTTTTTGATTAATTGGATTAAGTCTTTGGTCTCTTGTCTTGTGATCCTTTGGTCTAAATTGAGATCCAATTCATTAAACTTGGATTCAATGGACGCCGATATGGACGACTCGTTTTGGTGTCCAGTTTTGCGGGTATTCTCCGACACAAAGACGCCCAGCAATTGAGTGTTAAATAAGACTCTTTGAGAGCTAATGCAGAGTCTCTTGTCTTTGCGTCGATTGGGGTTCTGTTCGCGTGATGTCGAGCGACGGCCTATTGGTCCACAAATACAGACAATTAGTTCATAATTGCAATCAATCAATGGTCTGAATGTGAGTTCACCTGAATTACTGCAATTTGGAGATACGTTTCGTGTCTAATGAGTGGACAAAACATTTCAATCAATGGCTAAGGCATGAGATAATGTGAGAAGACATACAGTGGTGTGACTCTTGGGTCGACCGGTCATCACATCGACACACCAACAGTAACCTGAACTCCGGTGACACTGAACCGACTGATGGACGCAACCAATTGAGTTGACAGATGAATGGTAAGTGAAAAGGATTACATAACAAACAGTGCAATCAATGAGTGGTCAACAAAAGTCACCGCAAAGAGTCCATCGCGAGTGCACTCCGGGATAAAGGCGTCTGAGTTCTGGTCTCTGGTCTGGGCGTTGGATCGGCTCACCAGACAATTGTTGGCCTAATCGTGTGGTAAGTATTCAGCGATTATCTCATGAATCGTCACCACAAACAAGCGATGGAAACATACCTCGCATTCAGTGAATGTCAATACAAGACACAAACCGATGAGTGAATACCACAACAATATAGCCATTAGTGATAGCAATAGGACGTTGGGATCAGATGTGTTTGAAATGCATTTACAAATAAATGAAATGAAATATCAAATGAAATAAAAGTGAAAATAAATAAAAAGTTGACGAAAAAAGTGAAGTCTTTTTGTTGTTGTCTTCACTTTTGTTGCAGTATTACTGTCTCAGCGTTGGTGTTGTCATAGAAACCGCACAAACATGAGATTTGTTTGACAAGTTTTGGCCAAAAAAAGTTTTTCTCATTTAAATCACTCGTCAAACAAACAACACGTGTAGTGATTAAGTCGTGTTGTGAACAGTGAGTCCAATATATATCACTGTTACCACTCATTATCATGACATCGTTGTTGAGGAATATATTGTTTCGCAAACTCTTTGTGCAAAAGAATCGTTTCATACGACATGTGCCCCGATTTGTGTCCAAAGATGAACTCACGAAACACTTCCACCCATTCATGGCTCACATGAAGGTGAAGAGTCCTTTCATTGGATCCATGGATTACATGGAGTTCATCGATGACTTGTATGACGAGGACCATGATGGTATGAATGTGTCCACTATAACGTAATAAGAGTATCACTAAAACAATAGCCGTTTATTTGGCAGATGAGGAGAGATGGGATTACATGCAACTGTTGGACACGAAGTACTTCACTGAAGACTCGATGAGATTTTTTAATATAAAGTCTGTTGATGTGTCTGAAGAAGAATTTATGCAAATACTAAGGGGTGAGAAGACATTAGCAAGTATTCATGCAAATAGCCATTCAAGTGGTGAGACCCAGAAGGAGAGCCCCGACAGCCAGAGTGCGGACACAAAGACAGACAAAGAATCGCACAAATGATTGGCACGTATTTAGACCATTGTTTGGATGCATGTGTTGTACCGATAGTCTGGTTTCTTATTTAGAGACTAATTAATACTTGATTTATCATAATATTGATCTCATATTGAAATAAGAGTTGTTAATAAAATGTTTATCTCATTGTATTTATTGTATTATTTACTTAAGGAATAGTTATTTACAACTCATATAATGAGACAATTGTTGATTCAATTCATTGAAATACAAATCGTGATATAAATTGAATTTTTAAAATTAATGTTTGTTTTTATTATAAATTTTTAATATATTTAATACAATCTCATCACTATTTTCTAAATAAGTAAACTAATTTATAATACTTAATACAATAGTTTGTTTTTGTGATACAGTAATATACAGTAGCATACATCAATCATATGAAGTAATATAAAACCAAACTAAAAATAATATTCATAAAGTAGTATATCAACATTTGTATAATAAATGTAAGGCATAAGTATGAATTCCTATACTGGAATCCTAATATTTGTCCTAGCTGTTTTTTTTGTAAATTCCAGCGCTAAGTCTAACAGAACTTGACTGTAAGACAACAGAATTGATCACATATTTAATGATTTATCAAATATCTCAAAATACAGTACTAACAATTATTAGTAACTTATTACTGATACAATTGAAGTGTTTTCCATTAAAAGCTAATTATTTGATTATTGGACGCATTTCTGACTCTTTTGATGGAAATGGATTGACTCCTATGACTGGCTTCGGATGCATTGCTCTCCTGTTTTGTGGCCCGTGTGTGACCCCCATTACCATTAGACGAGTCGTTGGAGGGCTCGAGCGAAATGGTTTTGCTCAACGATTTTGAGCGCATACTTGTGAACATATTACTTGAGGCAGTCCTGTACACTGAGGACAGGTATCTCGACGGGTGTCTACTGTGGTATGACTTTCGCACAAATTGCCGCGCCTTCTCGTTAAGTAGTATTTGAAACATGAATATAAAAACGCCCTAAAAATAGATAAAATAATCTAGTTAACTTTAAGATAGTTAACTTCAATTCCTGACCAAAACATCTTATAAATACCTGCAATCCATTGAATATAATGAATATATAGGAAAACCATTGCCCGAACTCATGGATATACAGAAGAAACGAAATCCAAGTGATTCCCAACACAACAACCAGTGATACAAAGCCTTTAATCCATGAGAAACTCTTTGAAAGTTGATCTGCAATTGAATTGATGTGCGAATTGGTTGTCGTATTCGAGATATCCTTCTCTTGAATAATCTTTTTCTTGACTTTTGCTGAAAATGCTTCCCTTAGAGCCAAATACATGATCAAAGTGTTGGCTAATATAATGACCAGCGCTGGGCCGGCCACTGCCCACACCCGGTAGGGGTGGGTCGGCGAAGATATCCAACAACTAGTCATCAAATTAAAGTTAAATTAATTATTTTTAGCAAAGGGTTGGATATAATTAAATTGCATACAAATAAGACTCATTTTCTATGATTTGGTCAAATCCTATGGCTAAGAGAGCGCTAATTGTGATGACAAGCGGTGCTCCATAACCGATGATATATAAGTATATGAGTCGTAAGTGTCCGACATTACTGAATACTAAGACAATCATCTGATACAAGTGGTAGCCTTCCATCAACATCCACGCGAATGAGGCCAATATGAAGTAGAGTAACATCCCAGCGATTGAATGGCATAAAATCTGGTTTTTGTTAATCATTTGCTCATTAATTTAATTGTATTAGTATTGAAAGAACTTACGTTATACTGAGTGTTATCCATACCAAACACTACCAATATATTGACAATCAGTAAACAAATACACAAATTACAAGTAATATTATTTCGACGATTCCTTAACTGGCGAACTAGTGTTAGGAAACCAATGGTCAACAATAGACACACAATCGATAAGCCACAGCAAACTTTGGTCAAAATGTCTTTCACTTGACTGTTACCCTCCCGTCCACTCACATCCATTAGAGCCGCAAAATTAGTCAAATGATTGCATTCACAGACAGACACCCGTCGGTCAGAACCGGTCGTTTTGAAGCTACAGCCAGTGGACGACCACTTCATTTCATCGAAATCCCAATAAACACACTTCACTTTATCGCCAAATCTTAATAACTCGTTATGTTTTACCCTTTTTTGTAATCAATAAAATTTCTATTAATTTTCATTATCAATGGAAAGTTTGATTTAAACAATTGTCAAATACTTACACAACTTTAACGGGTTCCGGGAGTGGAGTTGAGTTGAAACTATTTTTTATGCTAAAAGCAACGATATCTGAATTGACTTCATACTCATCACTCAAATTAACTTTTAAATATCGGGACAACTTATCAAACACAGCGCCCACAGCTGTGCCTGCATTACAATTTTCATCGGGCTTTTGCGCCGGTATTCCGGCCGGTATTGTGATCGAGGAGTCCATGTGTTGGACCTGAAATGTGGTCGTCTTATTGTAGTCCATTGTAAACGTCTGAACGACAATATTGTTTCTTTCTATTGGTTTGTGCGAAGTGTCCGTCCGCTCCGTACAGCCCAATGCAAACGTACTCCTCTGCATATACTGTAATATATTTGAACTAAAACTTGATTTAACGTCGTTGTGACTGATCTGATCCCAGGCCCGGTCACAGTCGAGTACATTACTGCAACTCTGCACAATATTTTCAGTGAATTTTCGTAAATAATCGGTGTCTTTGATCTTATTGTGCACTTTTTGCTGCAAAGTGTCGATTATATTCAGTGTCCGATTCAATGAGCTGTTGGTTACGAGGGGACCGCCCGTCAGAATATCGCTCAATACTCCGGAACAGTCGAGTATTTCCTTTTTGCTTATCTCTGGGTCCGATAGTTTGTCCTCCAATTCGTGCAATACTTTGTCGATCTCAGCCGGAGATAGTGTTGTCGTCTGATCCGGAGATATACTGGTACTGCTCCCATGTGAGCCCCCGGACACTGTCGTTGTATCACTTGGCGTACTGGTTGTTACCGGCGGCGCTCTGTTACATGTTCAGTGATATGTTATCAAATTGTTGCTAATTTCATAGATTGCAGAAAATTTAATATTGTAGTCGTTATACGTACAGACACTCTTCCGGAGCATTGTATGCGCACAGGTAGGTATGTGGTGTGTCGGCCACCTTTTCGAAACCACTATTTTTAAATCCAGACAATTAAAATATCGTTTATATCGATATCATATTGAAAAATAAATAAATAAATTCATATTTACCCATCCTGTACTTCTTTAAAATCATTTGTTTTGCTGTCATATATAACTGTATATATAATACATTTGTCGGGAGACTGGATTTTAGTGTTCTCTATGTCTTTACCGGTGGCCAACCACTGACAGTCGGTGCCAAACGCGTCGGCTGTCAGTTTCCTCATACAACACACACCACTCGTCGCTAATTCAATCTTCTCGGCTAATTATTATCAAATACTCTATTATTGATCAGTTCAACACTTGTTTCAATACAATCTCCTAATTCTGTGATCAACCAAATATTCTTTGTACTCATCAACTCAATGACTGCATACCTGTGATAATTCCCTTTGTATATAACCTCTTCATCATATCTATTGCCGCCTTCTTCTTGTCATTTGAGAGCTCAACCAAATCTGCCTCATATTTGGCGCTGAATTTCTGTGAACACAGTTGTCTCGACTCATCCCAACCCATGGGAGTGGACTCATAGTAGAAGACCGACGGCCCGTAACAGAAATAGTTATCTAATTCCGAGTACTGAGCATTTTGACAAACGGCTTTCCAATCTTCACAAGCTATGGGAATATAATTTACATCATATTTAGTATTTGTTTTGATAAATCTAGAAATTGATGATTATTCATTATTTAAGTTGACATCCAACATAAAAATAATAATCCTGCTAAAATAACTTATTCTTCGATTATAAGAAGTTTATACTACAGTATTTAGCTTGATAATGAACATTATTATTGAAAAATAATAAAATTAATAAGGTACATTAGTACAATAAATTGTATTTTTGAAAATGATTATTTAGTCATTGATTCTACATTTTTGGTGCAAATAATTTAAAATATAAATTTAATTAATTTTTAATTCTAGTTACCACTTTGCAATAATTTTTTAAATATTTAAAATAAATTACTTTAAATTATTTACAATATTAATTTATTGTGTTTTAATATAGCAAATAATTACAATGAGTTTATGTAATCATAAATTTGACAAATATTCCATATTTTCTATGCTTTGCCTTTAAATAAAAGTTGTTATTATCTCATATGAGATACTTATGAGACAATGACGTTATACTCGACAACACTTCAGGTACGTAGGGGTGGACAGGGATTATGAACTATAACTAAATTTTAATAATTTAATTTANTTAATAATTTAATTTAAACCTTGAAATTCTTTACATATTAAATTAAACAAGTATATTATGTATATTTAAGTTCAATAATATTCTAGTGATTTATGATAAAAGTATTAAATTTTAAATGGTTTTGATTTAATTGATAACCGCATTGGTTATGCTTATGTCATATCAGTATCAGATACTCACTGTGAAGAGAATTGTATTTAATTAATGTTTTACTTTATATAAACTAATTTGAAGGTTAAGTACAGATTAGGTCTTATTTACACTTATAATATGGTGTTATAATGTATAAAAATGATATTGTTCAAATAGAAAAATATATCTTCATATTGAACATTGTTTGACAAACAAACTACAGTTAAATATATAGTAAAACAGAATAAAGCATAAACTATATGAAGTACATCATGAACTTTTATGTCTTAAATTAAACTGATACAAGTGTATATGGTTAGTCAAATATTACATAATTAAGATTGTTATTTTTATATTATTTTATGTTAAAAATATACTCAGATTTATAACATGTTGGAAATAATATTTATTGCTTATCAATTAGATTTTTAAGAATATTATGCATAAATAATTATAAATTTATAATTAAGAGAATTTATATTTAGTATAATTTAATGAAATTCTATAATTTTATATACCGGTAAAGTGAATCTTGTTTTTCATAAAATTTATATACCCTAATAAGAAAAGTATATAAGATTTCTCTTTTAATATTTAACAACTAAGTGAATGTTTATTTTAATAACCAATTACACTTATTTAATTAGTTTTAAATCTGTATAATTTATTATAACTCATCTCAAAATATAAAATAATATTTTCAGTAAAATCAAAGAAATTGTAAACATAGTCCTTGGTACTTTTATAAACTCGATTTACTTAAAGATTATTTTTGAATTCTGGACAGGTATATTCAGAGTATTATGCAATTTTGGTGTTTAATAATTAAACATTTTGTTTCCTGCTTAAATCAAAATGAACTAGTAGAATGTGTTTAAAAATACTGTAGTTGATTTTCTAAAGTATATTTTGTTACTCGTAATATTATGATAAATCATAAATAGGCTTATTTTGTATTTGAGACCCAATAATATGAAAGAAACATTTGCTTGAATACGTGCCATTGAAAGCAACTCACGATTACTCACATATAACGTACACCATATGACAAGTATTCTCACTAATAAATAGATTAGTTTTTACTAAAGGGGCTAATATTCATATGAATATAATATATACATTATATGTGAGTAATCATGAGTTGCTTGCAAAGGCACGTATTCAAGCAAATGTTTCTTTCATATTATCATGTCTCATTTATATTTTGTATGATTTCTATATAACATGGTGTAAACATTTATTTGACATTTTATTCAGAAATAGAAATGACTTTTGTTTAAAAAAATTGTTTATTTCTTTTACTATTTAATAAATAAAATCTTATTTAAAATTCTCAGTATTTGATACATTTTTGTAATTGAATCTTAGCACTTGAATTGTGAGTTTCTAATTAAATGCTTTCTCTTTATTAACATTTCAAATAACACGATGATAATCACTGATATCTAACTAATGTAGTTAATAATTATCACTGTGAATACATTGTAATAATTCAATTTGAATTCTTAATAAACTATTTTTCAGTAATGATGTTGATACCTGTTCCTAATAAATAGGATGTTAATTACCGGTATTTGTAAATACAGTAAATAATCCTAAACTATACTGTATTAGTTATAATAATTTATTACAATATAGTTGTGAAACTATATTATACGACAAATAAACGTCAAGAATTTAAACAAACGTATTATGAAAATACAAGTACAAGAAAATACAAATACTTTAGAATTACATTATGTTTATCATATGATTATTGGCTCAAAACTATAAGATATTCTGAGGT